CCCCCCCCGCCCCCCCCCCACAAAAAAACCCCACACCAAACAACTTTCCATTCTTACCTCAAATATGGTTAGAGCAAGGGGATGTGCAAGCAACTCATGTGATTTCAGCACAATCCTACGATCCTGGCCATTCAGATCCACGCTGGACAGCATATGCAGTTTAGAGTCAATCCAGTAGAGGCGACTTTTTACAAGATCTTGTTCGGGGAGGCAGGAAGAGGAACAGAGTGTAAGAAAGAGCAAGAAGCAGCTCATTTAGAATGCTTTAAATAAAGCTACTTTGAGGTTCCTTTAACAGTGTTCCTTTCCAGGATTATTTGCTCCCTATGCCCATCCTTATGAGGAGCAGCAGTACCTCTTCCAGGGCATGTTATTTATGCCTCAATGAAGCAGTGCCACAGTACTGTTTTACTTCTGCTCCAAGCATGGATTGATCTCTTTTCAAGAGGCCTGCTGTTAATTGATAGCTTAATGCTAGAAAAAACACAAGTTGCACAGTAGCTAGCATTCAAACTGTTAGTTAAGCATTCACTTCATTTCAGTGAAGTTAGGCACATCAACTTTAAGCATCATTTTGCCACCCCAACCCTTGTTTTTTCAGGATGCAACATTAAGATACCTAGTGCAATTCCATTAGGCCATTGGATTTCAGTTGTCACCAGCTGCTGTCTATCAAATCCATTCATTCCTGCTTTTTCAATTTTTGCTGGTTCACCCCAGTCAGACCAGTACATAAAGCTGTAAAGAGATGAGCAAGGCATTTTTACCTATAATAATGGAGGTAACAGCCTCTGGGTGAGGCAAGTGTATAGGTTAGAGGAAAGCTTTAGAAGCAAGGCATTGATAGAACTTATTTATTTGAGCTTGGAGTTAAGTTTGTTACCTTACTGACCAAGAAGAAAAGTGTTTAAGACTTTATCCAGTTTTAGAGTGGTAGAACAGATTACAGAGCAGTAGAGTAGACTTGTCACAGCAATTAAGAGACTCAGCTCACCCAGAGAGAGGATCCACAGCAATGGAGGCTGGCTCTCTTAAGTCCGTGTTGAAGAGAATCCTCCTTTTAGTGCCATCAAGACTAGCCACAGAGATGGTCTTCAGACCAGAGTCAGTCCAGTAGATATTCTTGTATACCCAGTCAATAGCAATTGCTGCAGGGCTATGCACATTATCTATGATTTTGACATGTTTACCTACTTTGTCACGAGTATCAAGTGAGGCACTGCAAGATATATGAAGGTTTATTTAGAGTTACTGCTCAATGAAGCTAGCCTAACCTCAATCTTTCTGGATTACTGCCTTCTTGTAGGCACTAGTCAAGGCCAAAGTCCATACATGCTAGGTATCTGCATTATCAGTGCTTGCAAGTTGAGTCAAGTGCAGAAGTCCTAGCACTAGGTAGTGTGTGAGGGTTGGCTTCTTGCCAGCAAGAGTAGTAGGCTGTTACCTAGCTTGGCAGTCCCTTAATTCCCTGTACTGAACCATCCCTATAGCCTGTAGATCAATTTAGGACATATCCAAGGTTCCCTTCCCAAGGACCCAGACCAGCTACAGAGGAGTATAGGTATAGCCTTAGTACCCATTGAGACCCAGTTCTAATATTGAATGGGGTTAGATTAGCCTTTCAAAGAGGTGACAGAGGAGTGGTGTCAGTGGCCAGAGTATTAAACAAAACTGGTTCCAAGTTAAACAATAAGGAGCTACACTGTTAGTGCGTGACAGTGCCTTGATGGCCACAACTTAAACAGCTGGGTTGAAGAGCCATTTACCTAAAGATTGCTTTAAGGGTAAAGTCAGCCCAGTAAAGTTTCTGCTCTTCAATATCAGCATCCAGTGCTACAGTGTTTCTTAGTTGCTCTACCAGCTGGATATATTCTTTCCTTTCTAGGCCAATCTTCCTGATGTCCCGACGGTTAGTGAAGATTAGAGCTGGTTCTTTTCCTGCAAGGCAGGGGGGAGGGGAGTTTAGGATTTGCAATTCTACACAAGTTTAATTAGTACTAGGCTCCTTTCTACAAGTCTGTAGACATTAAGAGCCTTTAACCTATCAAGCCAGTAGAGGCTGTCAGCATTAAGTGCTCAAAGAAGTTCTGGCACAAAAGAAAATTCCTGGAACCAGAAGCTCAAATATTGCCAAGCCCCACAGGTTTTCCCTTACATGTCCCCTTCAAAAAAAAAAAAAAGTGGACCTGAAGAAGCAAGGGAAATAGAAAAAAAGAAAATAAGTGGATTGCATAAGGACTTCTCTAGTGAAGCCATATACTGTACTGTCACTTGCAAAGTTGGTCTCAAGACCAGCTTCTTGGTCAGTGACTACTGTTACATTTTAGGTTCTCTACAAGATGCAGCAGCCAAAGCTTGAAGTTGTCTTGCATCCTGTCGCCAGACAACTTTAAAAGACCTCACCCCAATTGTACTTACCAACTGCTTTGCACACTCCAGTAGCTAGATCCATTTGGTAGCCACGGCTACATTCACACTTGTAGCCCCCTTTTAGGTTAATACAGATTTGGCTGCAGATCCCAGGATTCTGGCATTCATCAATATCTAGGGAAGGAAGACAGGATTACTTTCACTTATTCTAGTTCTGCTGAAGTAGTACCCCCCCAAAGATGAGTAGATGCTTGCCTCCACATGTTTTCCTATCTATTAGCTCAAAACCAGCTGGGCAGTCACATTCATATCCAATGATCAAGTCTCTGCAGATATGGGAGCAGCCACCATTGTTTACCAGGCATTCATTAAGATCTGAAAGATTAGGGAAGATTTAGTACAAGTGTGAAGTTTACCAAGAAAAAAAAAAACCTTGACATTTCTAGAATGCATTAGGAACTGGCATCTAAGAAAAAAAAATAATAATGAAACAAAGCCAAAAGACACCCCACTGCTTTAGTATCTTGTCCTTATACAGGTGCTATTTCAGACTACATAGGAGTACTGGGCATTTAGTTGCTGTTAACCAAGATGAAGACTCAATCTGGTGGGTCAAAGTTGCCAGTAAATAAGTATGGCCAGGACAATTGCACCAGCTTTTAGAAGTGACTGGTCATTTGGATAGTTAAAGAGCTAAAAGCCACCCTTTACTCTTACTTAGAGATCCAGTCAGAAGTACTTGCAGATTTTTTTTTTTTTTTTTTT